AAAACAAGGAGCAAAGTAAGACTGAATACTCTAAATAAACATAACAAAACCAAGACTGTGACATTAGCTTTTGATACAGAAGGAGAAGGATTAAACATATGAACCTTAGAGATAACTTCTTGTATGATTTAACAGAAAAAGTGAATTAGTCCAACTTATAAAAAAAAGCTTATGCTGCAGGTTTGATGTAAAATCAAAACAGAAGATTGCAGATTTTATTCTAATAAACCTAATCCCTGCTACCAATAATCTGACCACAGAATTGCTTCACTACTTCGGAGGGCTGCCACGGTACTGCACGGGGGTCGTGAAAGTTTTGGTTGATTAAGACTTTTTTTTTCTTTATATTTCCCCCTGTAATTTTTTCCACTAATTGAAATGTCTTTAAATTCACATTATCATGAATTCAACAGACTGTAGTAAACAGATAAATGGAGGCAGAAGATGTCTTTTAGTCATCAATGCTCACATTCAGAGACATACAGGAGCTCTTTCAAGCTGGGCACTGTTTCATTCACAACACCTGTCCCATCAACCAGGAAGCAGAATCAGAAATACTTCCCAGGGAGAAATTACTTTAGTTACATTACTCCATCTGTAATAGAGTGACTATAGGACCAGTTTGATAGAACACTATTTAATACCATATATATAAAATTAGGGCGTCCCCGCTCCATCTTGCCATCAGTTTGGGGGTCCTTGGCCTGGAAAACGTTTATTTCATGTCCCATGTGGGATAGATTTTTATGTTTTCTAAATATGGATATTGTACCCAGTCCTCTGTGGTAGGCTTTGGATCAGGAACTGGTTTCCGTACTTTCTTTCCTGCCGTTACCCAGTTAGACGTTGATCTTGATTGGGGGTTTGAAAGAACGGATATTATTTCATTACAGAAGTTCTAATTAAATCAAACCTGAATCGAATCCTGATGCATTAAACACATTGTTGAAGTGTTTGTTCGGGGTTATTGATTTCCTGGGTCATATGATTGTTAATAGATCCTGTTTCCTTCCAGAATGTCGGTGCTGTCAACTTCTTCTGTAACTATGAGGAGAGCAGAGGAAACTACTTGGTGGACGTGGACGGAAACCGCATGTTGGACATCTACACGCAGATCTCCTCCATTCCCATCGGTGAGTCATTTACTTTTAAAATAAGTGAATTTTTTCTTGAATAAAGGAGGTGAGTAAAGCATTTTTCCAATGGAACAAGAGGATTTAAATTTAACACAAAAAAACAATTTCATTGTCTTATTTGTCTTATTTATTTTAAGTGCATATTATCTTATTATAAGAGTAAAAATCTAATATCATTGGCAGATCATTTTATTTACCTCCTGAAATTAATTGTAAATACATTAAATTTAAAAATGTTTAAATTATTTCTAGATCATTTTTAATGATGATCAATAAAACCAAGTGACAGTAAAGTCTGTGTCAGAGCAACATACCTGTCTTTGAATTATACTTGTACATCTGCTGTTCGTGGGGTATTTGATTATATATTTTATTCTAGTAAACTTAGTTTTTTTTGTTATTCAGAAACCTAATACACTGCAAAAAGAGAAATCTAAATAAGTCATTTTTTCTTAAAATAGGTGCATTTTTTTCTAGAATTTAGGAGGAAAGTGAGACACTTTAACCAATGGAAAGACACAATTTATATTTAAAATTTGTAAAAATAATATCAGTGTCTTATTTCAAGTGCATATTATCTAATTATCTTATTTTAAGAGTGGAACTTAAGGATACATATGATTAATTTAAGACATTTTTGCTGATTTCTAGATCGTTTTTTGCTGTTTAATAAGTTCCTGTTTTGTCAACAAACAGTTTTATTGGTTTATCCAGACAGTATTTAATAATTGTTCCTTGTTTTATTTAAGTTAAGGTAAAAAAAAAAAAAAAAAAAAAAATAGCCCTCAAGTTTTTCAGAAATTACTGCTTACTAATAAATGTTAGTTGAAAGATTAAGATCATTCAATAAGTTTCCTCCCTAACCAAAGTTCAGGAAAAGACATTTTTTTTAAAAACATAATCAGTAAGATGTCATGGTTGTCTCAAATTGGTAAGATTTGGTAAACGTACTGTAGTCGCAGCCGGTGTTCTGTCAGGTCAGCATACCCCGTCAGACCAGAATACCAATGGTCAATACTCATGCGCTAGATGTCAGATTTGCGTTTATCCCTTTAGTTTTGTGAGAAAAATAGACTTTAAAGTACCTCAACCTTGAGTCATGTACAAAAAAAATTTAAGGTCGGAATGCCATACACTTCAAAAAAACACCAAAAAGTAAGTAATTAAATTGTGTTTTTATTACAGGACTAAAGGGATATACGCCCGTTGAGGTGGTTTGAAGTTTATTTTTCATACTAAACTAAAGGGATTAATAGGGTATGGACTATGGGTATGCTGGTCTGACCAGGTATGCTCATCTGACAGATCACCGGGACTCTGAGCAGGCGCATGTAGTTAAGGATGTAACTACTTTGAGCCACATCCTGGGAAACTGACTGTCCAACCCAGATTTTTCATTATTGATGAATGTGGACCCAGCCAATGGATGATTGTGTTCATTTCTACAGCCTGACCGTGACCTTTACTCTAACCCTAACCATTACGGGTTCGTACCTAAAACCCGATCCCAACCTGAACTCAATTCT